GTTTGTATAACGCCGCGAAAGTGCTGCGCACAGTTTGTGGAACAACACGCCTGTGTTTATGCATTCGGCACGCGTACGCCACCGAAAAATTTATAAACAAAATATCGAATTTTCGAATTTACTTGGTAGCCTCGCAAGTTTTTGGCTCAAACAGACGAGACTGCATGCATTTTTGTTGTTAGTATTTTTTTTTTTTATATTTTTTTTTTATATTTTTTCATTGTATTTTGGACGGCGTTCACTGACGTCAAATGCAAATTTTTTGGTTTAACCAAAAAGTCAAATATATTTACATACATGCATACGTATGTATATTGGTTAGAGCAATGAATCAGTGCTCAAAACAGCTTTGAGGCGGGAATTTTTCGATTTCAGTTCCGTTCCATTTGAAATGAGGTCGCGCTCTGGGTTTTTCTAACTGCATTTCAAGCAAGGCGCTTTAGAATATTCTCTGATTATACTCACGTTGGTTATTTAATTTTGTGTGATTTTTTACATTTTTTTGTTGATTAGCAAACAACAAAAAACCGGTAGATTTTACGAGTTTTGCAAAATTTACGTTTTGTTTAAAATCGAGTAAACATAATTAATTGGTTGGAAAAAAAAAATGAAAGTGAAGGATGCGCGTAGAGCTTGTTGTGCCGGCAAAATGAACGCATGCGTTTGGAATATTAAAAAAAAGTAGTTTTTTATGTGATCTTATATATAAAATTGGTGAGTGTGTCAAGGAAAACAGCTTAAGATGTGGGAAAAAGTTGTGGAGGGCAAATTATACAGCAATTTGTGTATAGTTATGCTAAATTAAGTTGACTTGATCTTTTTTTATATGTTTAAAACAAATTTATAAGAAAGTATATCAGTAAAATATATAAAAATATTTTTTTTACTTGCTTCGAATTTAATGGCTTTAATTTTTTAATAAAAAATTGTTGTTTAATATTTTTAAGATTTATATTCCTTTTTAACAATTTTGGCTAAATTTTTGATTAAATATTTTTAGTTTTTTTTTAAATTATATTTCTTTTAACAAAACTTTGTTTACCCGTGTTACTTAAGTAAGGCTTTAATATTATTTTTATTTATAAACGATAAATTCCATTTTTTCAATTTCTAGACACATACGACTTGCCTACGCGCCACCAAATAAAGAAAAAGGCTTTTAAACTAAAGACTTAAGCAACGAACCTGTCTACACTTATGTATACCAAAATCCGTTAAAAGGCACATAAACGTAATTTAACCATACAAACAAGGCAGTTAAGGTTAATAAATATAAAAATAAAAGTCAAATTTACAAACATATCAAATATTTTTTTTTTATATATTTGTGGACTTTGAAACTTTTATTTACTTTTTTTTTAAATTCTCATTAATATTTTAGTATTTAGAGCTTTTCAGAACAATTTTGGCATAAAAATCACATATTTTTTGATAAACTATAAAAATATAACCATTTCGTGCTTTACAACAAAAAGTGGCTAAGTCAATATTCAATTTTTTGCAATTAAATTCACAAATATGTAAATAACACATTTTTACGATTTTTCATAACAATTTATAGTTATTTTTTTTTTTTTAATTTTGGATGCTTTATTTTAAAAAGTGACTAAATCACTGGTTTGTTTACTTTTTCAACAAAGTGCGCAAATAAGTAAATGAAAACCATTAAGCGTACATATATGATACGTTGCATTAGTTTTTATAAACGAATTAAATTTATTTCAGTACGTTGAAGTGAAAAATGGCAAAATTAAAAATGTTCAAGAAATTATTGCACACACACATACATATACTGATTTACACAATTTTCTTCTACTTCTTCATTTTCTGAAACAAAACTTAGTTTTACTCACCAGGATGGAAGGCAGCGGGTTGTGTGAATACGGCAGCATTTGTACTGCTTATGCAGCTGACAGCAATAACTGCCGCGACGAAGATTAAACACACTTTTAGTGAGCACATTTTTTGTTGTTGAATATAATTGCTTGTGGATTTTGTAAAAAATATTTTATTATTTTTTATAACAAATGCTGTTTTTGCACTCAATTTAACAAAGTTTTTTATAATTTTGCAATTCAAAAGATTTGTTTCAGCAAGAAAGTAATTTTTTTTAAACACACAATTTCATTTACTTTTCTGCGCTGTATAAATTTGCTTTAGCTTTCTGCTAACTTTGACTTTATAGTTTTGCTTGTTGATCTGTTTACGTTGAGATCGAGTTTTCAACTGAAATTCACATCGAGCTGACGCTCATATTTAAACCAAATGCCGCCACTCTCTGCTGTTGATGGCTGCGCTTACTCACTTGTTGTTGTTATTATTGTTGTTTACCATTTTATTTTGTTTATTATCGCGCACCGGCAAAGCGATTCCCATATACATGCTAGTATTTTGCACGTAAGTGAGCACGTTGCGACGCTCGAGCGACTAAGCGAGTGTGTAGCGGGGAAGAAGCTGGAAAAAAATGGAAGATGAAATAAAAAAAAAAATTTTATAAAAAAAATTTGAGCAAAAAACTAATCAGCACAATTCGTGACGTGCTTTTGTTGATGAGCTGGATAAACAAAATTCCAGCAGAGAAGACCAACAAAAAAAAAAAAAATGAAAGAAAAAAGAAGAAAAGCATACAAGAAGTGAACAACAAGCAAAAAGAAATATGAAAGTTCTAACTAAATTTAATATGCTTCATTAGAGATAAGAACATACATATATTATATAAGAAAAATATAGAAAATATCAGCCTAACCGAATTACATAAAAATGTATTTTTTAGCGTAAAAGACAAAATATAATTTTTGATAATGTTTAATGAAGAAATCACTGAAAATATTGGTTACGGAATTCTTAGGTCTTAATAACAATGTTTAGGGAAGCCTGCCCGACAAGAAGAAGCACTTTATGTAAATATTTACTAATATTTTTAAAACATCAATTAGTGAACAGTTTAACTTATCACCTATTCAGAAGTGAAAGAACTGCGTACATATGAATATATAACCTGTGAATTTCATTGAGAAGCAAACAATCGATGCATTTTTGAAGAGAATGTTTTTTGGTAATAAACGTGCAGCAAAAACGTTCCTGACCGAATTGTGCTGAGTCAAAACAAATGGTGGCCAACCCAGAATTACAGGTCAGGAAGATTTTGCTATGTATTTGAAGGTATCGTCAGGGCTCAGTACACTTTTTTATCAGGGCACACAAATCGATAAGGACTCGCTAGAAGCAGCTGAAGCTTTGTTAGAAGTTTTTTATGCATAAAATTTATATTCCGGATTTGACATCAAGTATTCCTGTCTATGATGAATTATTTGGCTGGTGAAAAATTTATTTCAGAACAAGCTGAAGAGAATCGACAGTATTTGTATGGAAGCGTCATTCTGAAATTACTTATAAAAGAGCTTCGAACCAAGCGGTGCATATTTCACCAAAAATTAATAAAATTAACTGCGATTGTATTGCAGCTATAATACTTTTCACAAATACAATATTTTTTTGGAAAATTTTTAGTGGAATACTCTTCACAAATACAAAATTTTTTGGAAAATTTTTAGTGGAATGTTTGTATGCCAGCTATTTTCTATAGTGACTCCATCTGAATAATTTCTTCGAAGATTGCTCTGTGCAAAAGCTTTCTGTACAAGTACTTTATTCCGCCGTTCACTTTGTATGGCAGCGATAGTTGTAGTGGTTCAATATCGACTGTTCCGATAAATGAGCAGCTTCTCGGTGAGATATAATATATTTTGGTGAATTAAAAACACTCTAGTTTTTTACTTTGAAGGTGATAAAATAAATATTGATAAATAACTAAATTTTTAGCCTTTTATTACAATTTCCGGGTAATTTTTCGTCACAATGTATACAAGGAATTAAACCCTGCTGTTAGTAGGTTGTCATGGAGTTATAAATATTCATTGAATTGCCTGCCTGAGGCAAATCTTGCGCAGATACTCGCATCTCCAAATGGCAAATCTTGAAACACCGTTGAAAAGTGAGTTCGGTATTGTGAAAAACTTTGTGGAATATGTATATCTGAGTGACAGGTATTGCTTGGGATTGGGTATGCTGTTTGGTAGTGAAGATATTTTTCCGCGAACAAAAATAATTCTAACAGAGTATGCTCGAGAGTAAGTGACTTCACTTAAATATGGTGAATAACATGAGTTACGGCATGCTTTTTGCTGCATTTAAATGGCAAGCAATTCTTTTGAGACAACTATGCGTGGAATTGTTTATCATATCGTTACTATTAGCAAATATTATAATCGAATATCAAGCTGACTATATGCTGAGTTGCTAAACACTAGCATTTCTCTGAGGACGATGCCGGCAAGTATATCACTGTCCATTTATGTACGCACCAACATGCGTTACTTCTAGATTGCCACCAGGGCTTAAGCATTGTTATTTAAATTGGCGTTAAAAGTTTGTGGCTGATATTGCAGCAAAAAAATGAGTTTTACTGAAATTTTTTATTGCGGTATTTGTATATCAGCTTAAAGACATTGTTGGCAAGTTGCTTACGAGCTATGACTATGAAGTTAGTTTGCCTTTGGCTTCACTTGTAGAATGAAGCAGTTACAGAGAAACAAAACAGACATTTTTTCCAGCAGTAAATTTGCATGTTTATCAATATTGCTTCTGAAAAATGTTAATTTCCAAACTTACCCACACCGCAGGCCATTCAGAGACATTGTAATTTATCGCAGTCGGCATAAAATCCAAAAATTTAAATTTTTTCAAACATTTTTTCATTGCATAAATTTATGTGCGGAATGTACGTGAATTTTCTGAACTAACTCTCAAGAACCGGTTAACTGTTTTCTTGTCTATCCGTTCTTCACATACCTTTCTACAAAACTGTTTGCCATCACCACATAATAGAGATGACTATGAATTGGCAGATATCTTTTGGGCGTTTCAGCAGAGAAGGTTCGTTTAATTATATATATATGGCTCTTCAAGACTTTTTTCTTAAATAATTCATTAAAATTTGTTGTTTTGAAAAAATAAAAATAAAAATGTATTTATTGTGGAAACTTTTTTTTTAGAAACCTCTTTTTAATTATATATTTATCTTGAGTCAAAATGTGGTTTTTGCACATCTTCCATAATTTCACTAATTACACTCCCTTGAAGCATTGTTGACATACAACTACGTCATTCTTAGCCAACACGAGGCATCACATCAGATTGAAATCGCTTTTGAAATTGACTTAACAAGGCGATTGTTGCGATTACTTTTTTGCCATTTGCTGCGTCCATCCGCCTTGTGTGGGCGTGTGTGCACGTACAAGGCAGCGCCCGGCCCGTCGACAGCAAAATGTCTCCACACACTACCAGCGACAGCGCTTATCCATGAGCGCGTACAGGCTTTCACACGCGCTTCACTAACAAAAGCTGCCTATAAATGGCGGTGTCGGAGCGGCCCACTCAATTACGAAGCCGCAATCTACCATTATAATCAAGTCAGTTTGTTAATCGCCGACATTAGAGCGATTAACACGCATTTAATTTGCAATGCAGTCGGTTTTAATTGAATATTACAAACGAAGCTGTCACTTTTTGTGACGTGTGATAATAGTGATGTTGGTTAGCTAGTAATTGAGATAGGTGTGGACTGAATTGCAGCGTGTAAAAATAGCTTTAATGCATGACAAAAATGGTTTACAAAAATAGATACCGGTAGATGTATGTATATTTTTTGTTGATTGTTGAACATATATGAATATACATATGATTTTCTGTGCATTAGCACATCTTGCTACAGAGTGTTATAGTTTTGTATACCTCGCGGCTCAAAACTAATCGAGATACATATCATCACCTGAAATAGAAAATAACGTATCATCAAAAAATTCGAATAATTCTTATTGATTATGATTCACTACTTCAAATTACCTACATAATATTACAAATGTCCAACATTTTCAGGTTCTGTGCTCAGATATAAACCAGTTTTAAACAATAATAAAAATGTTTTTCACTCAAGTTCCATTTTATGTCGTGTTTAATTCATGCCACTGTAACTTTCCGAAAATGTTGTTACGTTATTTTGTATTTCAGTTGGCGATATATAAAAATGATCCGGATGAGAAGAGCTGAAAACCGAGTGATTGTCTGTCTGTCCGTCGGTTATTGCAAGTAATAACTTCAGTCAAAATTGAGATTTCTTGATGAAACTTTGTACTGGTGAAAGGTACATAAGTATTGTATATGCGGTTCTTAAATTTTTGAAAAAGTACAGCGTTCATTGTAATGAGTTTAATGTACACTATCGCATATATGCATCACATTATCCTGAAATATCTATGTTATAGTGCAAAAATTGGTTAAGTATGCCAAGCCTACTTTTTACATCTTCTTCTCCTTTATTCATGTAAATACCGCTTACGCGGCTATAGCCGAGTTTACAACATCACAAGACTGTTTTCTTCCATTCATTGGGTGTGTCTTTTACGTCGCATTTCCTGAAACCCAACGCGCAACCCTGGAGCGGAATGTTTCGCTTTCTCACTTTAGCTCGCCTTCAAACTTCAAACTTTGGCGACTACAAAGAAACTACTTGGTCTAAGACCGGAAGTCGTTTCAAGTTTCATACGCCATAGGTAAATTAATCTTTTCTGGCTATTCCCAAGCCACTTCTGCACATGATAAAAAAATTTTTTTTTTGCCAAAAATCGAATTTTCAATTTCTTTTCCTTCGACCAAGCTCTAAGTTAAACATTTTTTTGTTGTCGGAGGTGGAATTTTCGAAAGAAACCGTCATGATTCCGACGGCATGCATGATTGATCCTACTTGTGCACGCGCCGTCAGTGCCAGTGTGTGCGGGACTTAGGACGCATATGTACTAAACCCATCTCCTCTAGCTATTTATTTTCCTTCCGTGACCACCGTTAGGCATTTCTTCGCAAGGAATAAAATTTTGCCCACGTGTTTATGGTGTGTCATCTGTGTGACCAAAATTGTCGAAATCGTATTACAACTCTTGATGAAATATGCGACGCCAGTTCCTATTGAGAACTTTTTATTGAAAATATCGGTTAAACTGTCAATATGTTTTTGAAATTCGGAGACAAATTGGATTACCGCCGAAGGTAGCCCTAGTTGGCTACTGTTATGGTTGTTATAGTAACAAAACACGTAGCTCATTTAGATTTCTATTAACTACGTTTTTATTTTAAATGACATATTGCGACCTAGCTTTTT